TAAGCCCTGAAATATTAGTTACAGAAAAGCTACGGCAGGAGAGGGAGGCCTCCTACCTTTTAGCCTAGTAGGGAGGGAGAAGAGATCCAGGTTCTAGGTCATATTCACCCTGAGGGGTTTTGAACCAGAACTTCCTGTTCCTTAGCAAAGTGCTCTAACCACCAGACTACAGGCTAGACATTAAGCCAATAATTCTCAACCAGGTGCCTTAAGATCCTTTCAAGGGTGTTTCAGGATGCCAACAATGTTAGCATTTTTAGGTGTGCAAATGTGATTCACTAGAGTGTGGTTTGCATAATTCCTTGCCTGTGGGCTAGGGCACTGCACTGGCACGTAGGTTCACATCCCCATTTGTACCCCACTGGTCTTGAACCCAGATGTCTTGCTTCCTGAGCAAGTGGCCTAACCACCAGGCTATGGGGGTTAAAAGATGAAAGCCCTTCCCTTTCTGACAGTTACATGCACAGGGAGAAAGAGACTGTCATACCATGCATAGGTGCTAAAGCCTTCAATCACAGAGCTATGCAAGTAAAAAGAAATGGGTTTTAGTCCATTGTCTCCCCAAGTTCCTCTTAACATCCAAGGTAAGAGAAAAGAAAATCCAACAAGATTAAATGGTAAAAGAAAGTGCACTTTGTGTGTGTCACGGCGCACCTTGCTGTCCCGCTCCTAGAGAGGGGAAAACTGCTGGGGAAAAGCCCTAGCAGGGATAATGAGCTCAGCTGTGAGTTGCCAGGGCAACTCCAGATAGATTGACTCACAACTAATGAGAGTCAGCTGCCTGTAGGAGGCAGGGCCTGGCCCTTATAAAGCCCAGGGCTGAAGCCAGGCTGGTAGTTCCCTGCCAGTGGCCAGATGGAGAAGAGCTCCTGGGGCTGAAATGCAAGAACTGCTTGAGCAGAGTGAAGGAGGGTGGCTCTGGGAGATTGGAGCAAGGTTGTTATAGCTAGGCAGCCTTAAGTTAAGTTGTAGCCAGGAGGCTTGTGGTGGTGTTGTTGTTGTTTATTACATCGGTGGCTAGGGTGAGGCTATAAGGGGTTAGAGGAGGCCTCATAGGAGACCCACAATAGCGTGGGGATCCAGGTGCCTGTAAGGGCACAGTTTACGGGGGTGTGTAGACCCCAGCCCCAGAGAAGGGTGTTTGAAGAGCCCAGTGTGGGCGTAGCAAGCCCCAAAGAGGGGGCAACATTGAGAAGCCCAAGGGTGGGCACACTGAACCCCAGGGAGGGGGCAACATTGAGAAGCCCCAGAGAAGGGGTGGCATTATTAGGGAGCCCAGCATGGGCACAACGAGCCCTAGAGAAGGGGTGGCATTATTAAGGAGCCTAGCGTGGGCACAGCAAGCCCCAGAGAGGGGGCAATAACGGGCGTAGCAAGCCCGGTTGAAGGCTAGCACAGCGGTAGACCTCAGACAGGGGTAAGGTGCTGCGGTGGACCCCGACGAAAGGGGTTAGCAGTACAGCACCCCAGGAGCAGGGCAAGGTGCTGCGGTGGTCCCTGAGAAAAGGGGATAGCAGCGCGGTGAGCCCGGATAAGAGAGGGTAGCAGTGCGGTGGGCCTAAAGGACCAGAGACCCACTAGAAAGTCCCGTAGCGGGCTAGATTATTTTAGAGAAGGCCCAGAGTGGGCTCAACGGGAGTCCCAGTGAGGGGCCGCATATTAGAGAGAGCCCGGAGTGGGCACAGGGAGAGCCTGGGAGGGGGCATTTCCATAGAGCATACAGAGAAGGCCCGGGAGTGGGCTAGACTATGGAGGAAGCCCAGGGAAGTGGGCGTGTTGACAGACCAACGTCCAGTACATCTGCGAGGCTTGGGGCGTGGTATTAGGGGTTGGTAGGAGCCATGCGTAGCCCATAAGGCTAGGGTGCCTGGAATGCACCCAGTGTGCAGGGAGACCCCTGGTGGGTCCGGAGGTCCCAGCTAACTGTGCCTAGGAGATGTAAGGCAGCCTCCCAACATATACTGAACGTCAAAGACATGGCGGGCGAGAATAGAGGGTGCCCTTGGGCCGAATAGGCACGGAGAGGGGGCCTTAAGGAGATCATGGCCCTCCTGGAGGACCCTGCTGTGACTGTCTGTGCTCATTGGCTTATTTACTTCATGAAAACAATGCAGAAATAACCACATTGGGAAAACTGAACTCACTGAAGCAGGATTTGGCAAAGTACACATCTACACTGATACAGATGCCTGATTATTAATGAGCCATATCGGCCAATACTGATCTGATTGCTGATATGCAGCCTGACAGCTTGGAGAGCAGCAACTGACTGGTAAGTCTGTTGTGGGGGAAAGGGTAGGGTGGGGGCAGATTGAGGCCCAGCTGGGCAGTGCCTGCCCAGCTGGGGCAGGGTAGAGTGTGGGGCAGAGCCATGAGTGGCTGGTTCAGGGGACAGAATTCACTGTAGCCTCCTGTATCCCCACCTCCCAGTGCCACCACTGCCTGCCCTGAGCACAGCCCCGACCCAACTTTCCCACTGGGAAGAGCCTAGCCTGCAGTGGCCTGCCCTTGCCCTTCCCACAGATCCAGGGAGCATGCCATCCCCATGCCTCCCCTGGGGGTACATGCAGCAGTGGGAGGCATCCTTCTGTTCCCCACACCCGCCAGATGAACCGCT